CCCAGTCCAAAACGCCACAACACTATCGTCAGGGTAGTCTGAGAGTCAGGAAACGTCGCTTTTTACCTGTCCCAGGCCTTACAAACTACCTGGGAGATGGGTCTGGGCTAGGTGGGACACTCTGTGCTTTGTGTGGGTATTTTGCTTCCCAACTTCAGAAGAAATCTGGGGGTTGCAACTTCTTTGGGGTGTGACACTTTTTAAATCTTAATGCATATTATAAACGTTTTTGATATTTCAAATAAAAATTTTAATAGACAAGTGAGAAAAGTTCTAAAAGATGCTGATCATAACATCAGTAGGCAAGACATCGCAGTCATGTCTGATGATTATTGTAAATCTTAAATAGATGCCTGATTTATTTTGGATGCGTATGAGTGGTATTTTTAGTACTGAAGTATCCAAAAGTATAAACTGCAGGAGGGAAATGCAAGTAAAACATGAAGGACCTGGAGATACCAGCTGTTATCATTAGTTTGGTGCTATGCTATTTGAGCAGAATATACCTCTAAATACCAGTTTTCATTTGACTCGCTGAGAACTCATTTTGTGACAGACTGGATAGTGCAGTTTATTCTCCCTAAGAATGTGAGTTGATATGAGACTAACCCACTATTAAGCATTTGCTTGCCAGCTCAAACAGGCTTTTATTTACTACCTTTACTTATACGAGGGAGTCAGTAAATAATAACAAGCAAAGAAAGCCTTCCTGTGCTAAAAACTACAAATTAAAACTCCAGTGGATGATAAGGAAGGGACTGATTTTTCATGGTGTTAAAAAACAGTGGGAATACTCATCATTGTTCTTTTAGCACTATACATTCATCTGTGTCTGAACAAAGTAAATACAAAGGTAAAATGTAAGTACTAAGGTAAAATCCTTAACAGTCATGTGTAATGAGTTTGCCATCTTGTATTTTAAACCTATACAGTTTCTAAAGAGATCTGTCCTGGCAGTCTCTGAGGGTGAGGATGCTAAAATCATTCTGTTTGTGAACAGCAAACATTGTTAATTCAAAACAGAAAGTATCAGAATTGTTCTAAAGCAAGAGCAGCACTCAGCCTGTCACGAGTTAATACCAAAGCTGTTTTTATAGCCACTATTCGAGGGTGAAGAGAAGACATCTTAATTAAACTCTGCCTTTGCTGAGGACAACCTACTGACAAAGTGTACATGCTAACTGCAGTCATGCATCCTGCTGTTGCCATTGTTAAGGAAAAGAAGCAATAAAAGCAGGCATCAAGTGGCTGCTGTCATGCAGGTTGCTGTGGAAGTACAGGCTCAAGAAGGGGTTGCTTTGTCCATTCAGTACAACGTCTTTGAAATTTTAGAGACAACCTCTAATAACTACAAGTCAGAATAATTCTTTCCATGGTGGGACACTGCAGACTAGTCACACTAAAAAGTTCAACACCAGAAGTCCAGGTGCATCATTAGGAGATGTTGAGCTCTCCTTTGTTTTTTATCCAGTGGTGAAGTTTGCTGGCTTAGGATTTTTTTTCCCCCTGAAAGCATGATGTTTAAAATTAAATAGAAATGGAATTTTCACATAATCACCTTGCTGTGGCAGCTGGGACTTTAAGAGAACTACCAGCAAAATATCTGTAATAAAATAATGAACTGGGACGTCTTTGATGAGGTTGTCTACTCTCATTGTGTTTGTTTGTGTTGTATTATTTTGCTGTATTCTCTTGCCATTCCCTTTCTTTTTCATGTGGGAAGAAAAAGATGTGCATGGGGTATAAAGGGTTAGAGTAATTGCTGATCTGTCTACCTGTATCACTGCAATGGGAGTTAAAAATCATTAAGTACTGGTGCACCGGCAGACACTGGTCTTCTGCTGGTATTTCTGGGCACTGCTGGTCACTCCAGCTTTCTAGCAGACAGTAAACCAAAACAGAACAACCAAAACAAAACAGAAAACTTGTCAAGTAAGGTTTGAGAAACTTGTTTGTAAAGTATCAGAGACTGTTCCTGCAATATTATGAAAGGACAATAGGTAGATACAATGCTATAGGAATACAGGGACCAGTGGATTGCTAATCCCTGCTTACTGCCCAGGTGTCTCAAAAAGAACCTGAAAGCGCAATTTATCTTTCTGCAAGGAGAAGAGATAAATTCCGTGCCTGACAGGATTATCTGCTTTGTCTTGGAGGTATTCATCTTGAGGCTGTACGGGGTAGTCTTTTTGAATATTGCTTACTATGACTTCCATTGAGATTAATAAATCATTTCATACAATTCCATCACTAAATCTGGGCCACTTTTTTGGCTAAGATCAAAGAAATACCATGCCACATTGTCCAGTTCCACCCTGTTTTTTGAGCACTGTTCAACTAAAATATTTAGTTGTTGTTTAGTTTGAGTTGTAGATCCAAACTGTTGTGATATACATAACTAAATATTACAATCAACAAATAGTAAAAAATGCATGATTAAATTACTTGTCAGGAATAATAAGTTCTAATCTTGCTAAGACAGATAGGAATTTAAGGTAGAAAAGATGTTCCTAGGGGGCTAGATAAACAAGGTTCCAATAATCCATAGGAAAAATAATAAAAAGAAAGTTTCAGTTGCTACACTTAATGGAAAAAAAATTCTTTGTCATTTATTAGTCTACAGAGATATACTTTATGCAGTGAAAATATTAATTAGTATCACACTATTAGTAATAAATTCCATTTCAAACATTCAAGTAAAAGAGCCATGTTTTGGTGACAGTTCAGTTCTCCAGCAAATGAAACCATTAAAGCTGAATACAAGTGATATATAACACATGACTAGGATCCTCTGGTCTCATGCTATAATAATTATTTTGTGTGTTTGGATTTGAGTAAAGAATTAAATGGGGGATTCATACCCTGTCTCATCACACAGCCTGAAATGCTAGCTGAAATGCATTGCTATCCACCATATCAGTTTTCTTCAGATATCATTTTAGTTAGCTGGTTAACTTTAAATAATGGTTTTGGTGAAAACACAGATAAATAATTGTGCAGTTTCTTGTTAGAAAGTATATTTTATTTGTGAATTCAGAAAAATTAATAGAATGAGTATAAAAAAACAACTTCAAAAGTCATTTCTAAGTTTCACTTTTTTCCTGTTGAAGCAGTAGATGTAAGTAGCTGGTGATAGTGAGTTGACTGTACTTTGCCTAACTGTGATGCTTCTTTGAGCTACAAGGATGATTAAGACTCATGATACTTTGGGTGCATAAGCTTTTTCAAAAGGCTGATATTTTTCCTGCAAATACTTTGTAAAGCTCTGGTTATAGTAATATTATTAAAATATTTTTCTTTAGTCTTTTTAAGATGCCATTTTAATATGTGTAAAGCAAGTAAGTTTAAAATTGTCAATTTGGAAGTGCACATTGACATCATGCACTGATAGGAATAGTGCCTGTGTAAGAGCAAGTCACTTTACATTTTTAAATTATGAAAATACTTTAGAGTAGCCTGATGAAGACCTTTAAGATAGTATATTCAAAGAAAATACAGTTCATTCTGTTTATAATTAAAAAAATGCTTTTTTCTGGCTATTCTTATGTGAAGAGAAACGTTTGCTAATGTAAAAATCCATGGAAAGTAAAAGTTGAAGTTAAAAAAAAATTGTAATGTACTTACATGTTGATCATCAAATTTTTATATTATTTATGTCCATGCCTGAATAGCCTTGCGGTGTTAATATTTATAGTAACAGGTTTTATTATATTTACAAGTAACATATATATTTTCTATTTGTAATTTAGATGGGTTTATTGTTTAATATGACTTTAACTTGGGTATTCAAGAAAAACTTAACAATTTTATAATCATTACATGAACTGAACCTCTGTAGAAAAGTTCAGTGCTTTCCACTCAGAGGCAGTTATTTTATTAGTGTTTATTTCCACCTCCTGTTAGGATACCATAAGTAACCCAGCATGACTGACTGTGCAAGCAATTATACACAAGTTTGAGGAGGATTTTATATGCTGGCCATGGGGTTGCATGAAAATAATTTCTGTTGTCCTTGGAAGTTTACCTGTTCATTTTATTACATATCTTTCTCAAAGTCTTAGGATTTTAGGTCATTATTGCAAAGCTAAGCATGATATGACATAGATGCTTTTAATGCCAATGTCCCCACAAGTTTATGTACTGGCTGCCTGGAGTTTAACAATACTAGGGCCAATATCACTCAGAAGTAGTGCTCTTGATTTTTTTAAGTCGTGATGTCGTGTTTCTCAGCACTGAACTAGTTTTGCAGCAGCTTACTTTGTGATTTGCTCAGGCATCATTCTTGAGATCAATCATAAGAGTTATGGCTTGGCAGCTTCTATCCAATTCTGGGCAATTTTCCTAAATGCAGAGTATTACACAGGGCAGAGTATTACCTGTTCAGCTAGCTGAATTTCCCATATTCTTTTATCTTACTAAGTTGTTTTTTTTTTTCAGGTTTTTCCCTCTGTTGAAGGAGGGTCATGTCATGTCTTGCCTTGACTGTGGGTCTTATTTCCTGGGGAGTGGGAGAGGGCAGGTGAATTGTATCTGCTTCTAGATCAGTAAAATATCTTGGGAACTCCAGATGGGACTGTTGCAAAATATTATACCAGATAAGTTTATCGCTTTTGGTACAGAGTGAAAGGAGACAGACCTTTTCCTCCAAGTGTCCTAAAAAATTATGTGAACTAGTGTAAGTTATTAAAATATATGAAACAGGCAAGGTTTTTTAAATGTTTTATTAGATTCTGTAAGGTTCTATACATGCTACTGTGTTTTTTTCTTGTGTTTTACCTGTGTTAATTATAATGAAGTATGTTGGAGGCAGAGAACAGGACACACGACCTAATAATACTCTGCGGCGAGACTTTTCCCCATCTCCATCAGGACCATCCTGTTGTAGTACTTACATTTAAGATGGCAATGCTGCTTCACCAAACTTCCTTCTACAGTGAGAGAAGCAGGGATAACTCTTGGAAAAGTTTTGAGGCTAGTGACAAAATATGTTTGTCTTTCAGATCCCCAGCTCAAGGGTATAGTGACCAGGTTATATTGCAGGCAAGGCTACTACTTGCAAATGCACCCCGATGGAAGTCTCGATGGAACCAAGGATGACAGCAGTAATTCTAGTAAGTGACTGCCCCAGGGGAATGTCATAATCACACATGCAGATTGCATTGCTTGAGTATGAACGTGCAGGCACAGTGCTAATGCATTTGGAGGGTTTCTGAATGTGTTTTGTCTAAAGGAAAAGGGTTCTGTCCATTTGAAGTCTAATGACCACCAGCACAGCTTGTGCAGAACATTGGCCTAAATGTATTCCCTCTGAAAGGGAAGGTGTAACAGCCAGTGGACCTTAGGAGTGAGACACTTAGGCCAATGATTGTCTTCTTATAATTTCATGAAAATGGTAAAATTATATTAAATACTTTTTTTTATGAAAGCTAAATTTCTTCAAATAAATAACAGCAATGGAAAAAAAAATTCCTTGAAAAATCTGATCATGTAGACCCTGATTCAGCAAAGCAAATAAATGAATGTCTACCAAAATCTTGATGAAGTACCTTGCTGAACTGCAGCTTAAGGTCCTATAGTCCCTATACTAGCAAGAGTTCGAGTGGCTTTAAGAGAATTTCTACCAGTATAGGGACTGTGACAGTGGCAGTTTTCAAAGATATCCCAAACAAAAGTTGTCTTGAAAGGCCTTGTGGGTTGATGCTTTGGTACTGTTTTCCTATGATACTGCCACATATTTTCATTTAACGAGCACATATATGTTTGATAACTTCAGCTGCAAATTATAATTAAGCAAACCGATTCTTACTCTAGAAATAGTTGATATTTAATTTTCTGTTTACCAAAGAACATTTGTGTTTTGTTTATTTAATGATAATGGCATATTTAAGTAACATTTATATTTGATCTTGAGGTCTATTTTAAGCATTCTTAATATAAAATATCTTCTTATTATGCATAGATAAGTAAACCTTTAGTTTTCTCAAAAATGTTGGAATTAGGCTATAAAAACTAAGGGATTTGAGGTTTCTGCTTTACTTTGTTTAGGTCCATGGTATTCTCTCAATGTACAGACGTCATTTTTAACATATTTCATCAACAGATAGTATGATCATCTTTTATTATTCAATTGGTTGTTTTTTTTTCAGAATTGAGAAAAAGAACTGATTGCTCAATTTTGGTGTGCATTTTTCTGCTTGTTTTTTCAAGTGATTTTCCCCTACCTTCCTTGTTTCTTTTCTTCCCTCAGTGTGTCCATCTCTCATGCCCACTTCTGTACTAGACTAGATACTAAGACCTTATACAGACAAGATCATTATTGCATTTTATAGAAGCTTTGCCTATAAGAAGTCCAAGAATTGTGTCATAGAGTGCAAGCATGTATCTTTCCTCTCCCTCACCTTCTCTCTCTGCACATCTGTCTTCTTTTCAGCTTCAGTGAGGAGGTGTGTATGACTGCAACAATTTTGGACTGTTTTAATGTCACTCCTGTTTAGGGTTTTTTTAAAATCTTAGAATTCTGTAGATTTTGAATCTTTGCAAAACTAGACCATAGTGGCTTACTTTCCTCTTTTTGTTATTGTAACCTTTACAAATCTTCCTTTTTTTGCTTACTCTATCATTTTTCCTCCTCCCTGCCTTTCTGGATATCTGTCTTCCCATCTCTCTTATTCTCGTTGTTCCAAAATAAAAAATGAATATTCTATATTGTAAATATTCTGAAATGTAGAACTTGTCCAAACTCAACCAAATACCAGATAGCAGTATTGCATCTTTTGGATAAATATTGTTAGATGTATTTTACTTCAACATGATTTTTAGGCTGAACAAGGGTGTGTTTTTTTCATAAAGTGATTTCTTCCTTTAACTGGTTCAATTCACTGTTTTCTTCTTCACTAGTCCAATTTTACAATATTATTTAGGAAAGACAGTTTAGACCATAAGAATGCAAAATTAATCTCCATCTTAATTTATGCTAGTATATATGTATCAACACTATATTAAGAGCTGAAAAGATTTATCTTTTTGGTATATGAGTATATGTCTGTTTCTTCTGTGCTTTCAGTTTTTGTCCTCAGTTCTTTTCACTTTCCACTTTGTTTCCTTCCATTTCCTCTTGAACTTTTTGTTTCTCATTGCTTTCCTTTATTGAAGCATATTTCATTTTTTCTTTCCTCTTTAAAGTGATATTTTTCTCATGGATGAATTCCCAGTGTTCTGATTTTTTAATTTTTATTTTCCTTTCTTTTGGTTTTGTTTTTTTTTTTTTTTGTTTTGTTTGTGAGCTCCTTATCATGATAATTTCTGTATGAAGCTTACTTATAAGTATGTTTTGGCAGCTGCCAGAGGGGGAAAATCCTGCTTGACCATGGAGCTTTCAGGCTGTCTATTTGATATGCTCAGTGGGTGACAGGATGGACATGTATTAGCTGTCAATAGGACAGCTTACCTTGGTAGTGAGGATGACTTCGATTCAAAGTGTGTTTTATAAAAATGGAGAAAATACGTACTGCCAAAGGGGTGTGCATCTCTGCCAGCCTTCCACCCATCTTTTGCAGCATTCACTGTTCCTGTGAAAAAGTCCTCCTCATGCACTGACCGTCTGAGTAGCTGTGTGTCAGAGGAGACAGAGTGAGGAAGTAGTGAGGGACAGAGAAGTGATTTCTTTTTTGTCTTCAGCAAGGAATCTTTTGGAAGCTTAATCATGCTGATGCTTTTTGTGCTGTTGCAGTTTGTTCTGTCAAACAGTTAAAGGAGTGCTTAAAGTTAAAATTCCCTCAAGTGCATCTTTCATTTTGTACTCATTTTATATGTATGTCTGTAAACATAGGTTATACACAATTGGAGTTACAGTGTTATAGAGAGGAAGCACAAAGTAAGATCAAGATGTAGTCTGTTCAAACTGAATGATTCTGGTTACACCTTTTTTTTTTTTTTGTCTTTAAAGCTTCTTGGTAGTCTCTTTAATGGGATTTTTTACTTCTATCTGAAGTTAAAATGAGTTTTACTAGTAGTTTTGATCAGATGCTATAGTGCAAGCCATTGCCCTAGCTTGCTTTATGTTTGAGTAAAGGGTAGAGTCTGCAGAGCTAGAGGGCAAGATTTTTAATGTATTGCTGTGCACAAACCCTTGCATGAAAAAGGAAGAAAGATGTGACTGCTTGTAATTGCATCCCTGAACATACTTTTGCTTATGTTGGTAGCCATGCTATTAGAACCCAATCTATATGCAGTGATGGGTTTCAGTTCCTTGTTTAATTTCTTTTTATATCTTTTCCAAGTTAGTTCTATAATGGAGTAGGGATTAGTTGCACCTATTGGTTAACAGGGCTGGTCTTGTGTGTACAGTTTGTATTTTTTTGCCAGTCTTAGTGATATGTGGAAACAGGCTTTATTGCATTGCTTTTCTTGGTTTAGATGGTTTTTCGCTATTTTCTTCCTCTAATGCCTTACACTTTTTGGTTTGCTTTTGTGGGTAGTTTGAAGTGAAAGCAGGGCTGACTGTGGTTAAAGATGTAGGCTTGGTTACGGAGGTCCTACTCATCTTAGCTATCCCTTTCTAGCTCTAATTTTCCTTACAGCAGTTCTCAGCATTACCTGGTGCGAATGGAACTTGCTTCAGTGTTGTCCATAGACCTCATCATTATTAATTAGGAAAAACAAGCTACTACACAGAAATTATAAAGAAATGGAAATTATTTTCATGTTGTGCTTGTGGTAACAAGAGGTACATTCCCCTTCTGTTCTCCTCGCCACCCAAAATGACTCATTTTCAGTCTTTGGTCTATCTTCAAAGTTTTGTCTCATGAATGAAGGGCAGGTTTAGTAGAAAAACTAATTCATTTGTGAAACATACAATTCTGTTTCTTTAATTTCTGAGTTTGAAACCCTGAACCTCTTAGCCATATGGCTTAGTTAGATTCACCTGAAGAGTATATCTCAGGCAACAGCCACTGAAAAAAATCATCATAAATTCTGAAACTTTCCTAAATGGATGATAAACCTGATTTTAACACTCAAATGCTGCTATTTGTGCCCCCTATGAAATTAACAGTCATATTTAAAACAGATTAAAAGAGCATTACTCGTTTGTAGCCTTATTTCATGAAGTCTTAGATGTCAAAGTTAACGTTACCCAAGCATCTTTGATTTGGCTGTGCTGTGCACATCTCTTGCTTAATTATGCAGCAGCATGCCTTATTTCCTTTGTGTCACTTGTTACCTGGTAGAATTGCTGTTCAAGAAATCATGCAACTGTTTAATATTATTTTCATCTTTCAATGCATGCTCCTAATGCTCTATGTATATTTTCCAAAATTAATATGGAAGTATTAACTTTTTCATGTCTTTCTAAACTACCTTCCACTCTCATATTTTGGCTTGAAGATATTAATAAAATAATGTTCATAGCATCCTTCTAAGGTACAGATCATTAGACAGAAATAAAGCACATGAAGCTTAAAAAACAACAGCTGCAATGCTGTAAAATTTGGATTACAGAGCTGAAATATTTGCAGTCTGATTTTTGCACTTTTACTGCAGTCTTCAAAGAATTGCATGGAGATTTAGTCATGTATTTACATCACCTTTGGGAGTTAGGTAAGCCTGTTTCTCCCATCAGTATCATATCAGTGTGACAGGATCAAGGGAGGCCATGCTCAGTCATACGAAAAAGTAAGGTTTAATTACGTCTTGTGTAACATCAGGCGAATAGAATGGGTTTCCTCCGTAAGATGGATGGATCTCTGAATACCAACCTCCCTGTACTTGTTGCCAACCTAAAAGATGTTCTGATGGAGTCATCGTTTTTGCCTGTAGGCATGCAGATGAAAATAAATTAAGGAAATAGTTGCCTTGGTCTGATTGGAGGTTTGGTGCTGTGGGTAGGTTTGTTAACTGACAGCAGGGCTGTGCATGTGCAGGACAGCAAGTTTATAAGCCTTAAGAAATTGGTCTCTAGCAAGCTTCTTGAGAAAAACAGTGATCTGTAATGGCAGTTTTCTTGTAGCTACAAGTCAGTTGTACCTACATACACTTCCTTAAGGATATGGAAATACCTGATTTCAGGCATTTCAGATTTCAAGTTAATAGCCCATGAGGGCATTACATAAAAAAAGGAAAAAGGTACGTGGTGGGTCTGTATTTTGCTTAAGGAAGGAGTTATAACATCAAAAAGTGGACTTTAACTTTGGCTAAAACCTTTGGAGGACTTGGGTTGTTCCTGCAAGTCCTCTCCACACCACCTAAACCAATAACGTTTTTCAAGCCAGTTATTGCTATTAACTGTCCCCCTCCCCCATTTTCTGATCTTGTGTGTGGTGAGAGTAGGCTTGCAGGCTTAGGAAAAGGAAGAGAAATCACTTGCTCTACTGTTGTGGTTTACATGGTATAAAAAGAAGAGCTAAGGGAGCATGCACAGGCTCAGTGCTGACAAAGGGTTTTACTTGCACCATTTTTGCCTGTCAGTCCACTTGATTACCCTGATGTTCTCACATCTTGTTTCCAGCTCGATTTGACAGGCTTTATACTTAATTGTGCAGCATGGAAGCACTGAGCATCAGGCAGAATTATATTTCCTGGGTTGTTCCAGGATGTTTCCTCTCTCAATTCACTGGTGGACTCACCAGGCTGGGTTTAGGTACATAAAGATGTTCAGGGACCTTACCCCCACTTTTTTTTTTTGTTTTCGATCATTGTCTTAGGAGGGAAGCTGGGGGCATGTTTCTTTTTACCCTCCCCCTTGGGTAAGGGCTTATCTTTGGCTATGCAGACCTGAAATGCCAGCAAATTCTGGAAGGCTTTCTGCTTTTCTCAAGGCAAGTTCTTACTAGAGTAGGGGATAGCACAGGTGAATCCTAGGAAGGCTGGAAATGTGTAATTGTGCACAGAAATCCTGCTCAGTAAAGGTACTGCACAGCCAGGTTCTGGAGGAAATTGAATTTCCTTTGGCCAGCTTCAGAGCACATAAAAACCACATGCTGTGCCTTACCAGTGCACGTTTTGCTGACTTCACTATGAAGCACATTGCTGAACATTTAGAAATCAATAATTGAATGTAGACTGGCCTCCTTAGTTTCGCCCAAATCTGACAGATTTTATGGAAGTTAGTGAATATTCTGTATGTGCAGAATTAGAGCATTTCAGATCACGCTCTAAAATTTTATGGTCTTAGACTAATTAGAGGAGCTCTGAAAATCTCCAAGTAAAACTTGGTGTCAGTAAAAGACACGTTATATGCCCACCTCAGTGCTTTCTAAATTCACCAGCAACTATAAGCCACTGTAGGAATTTTATAGGTTGCATAAAACACTGCCATGTTACAGGCCTCTATTTCAATGGTGGTTGTTTGTGTTTGGTTTTTTTTTCTAGCTTTGCTGCTTTATTTTTATTAGTAATAGAGCAAAGTATATCTAGGTTCCACAAGTTTTGACTGAACCACTATGATTTGGAGTTATTTTTCATTAGCTTTCTATGGCTGATTTGTCTTTTGTGTTCACCTCTTTTCTTTCTACAAGTACTGTTTGTTTTTCCTTTCTGGTGTTCCCTCAGTTGTTGCTGCCCTCCCTCTAGCATCGTGTTCCTATCTTGGCTTCCTCCTGCAATTTCGTTTCTTCTAGAAAAAAAATAACTGCCATCTGAAACCTTGTATTGCTGTGACAGTAGTGTTGCTACGCTGCCCACAATAGGGCTTTTGCTGGTTTTGACATCGTTTCATTTCGGGGTAATGGCTGATTAATTTTTTAACTTCCAGATTATATTGAACATTTGAAAACTCTCCAGTCATTCAGTGTTTAGCCTATATACTCTCAGGATATCTTGTCCACGAGTGCCATATTTCACTGGTTTACATTTATCTTGTATAGGTTAGATAGGGAACCTTGTCTGTGCCCCATATCCAGTAACATCCTCGCATGGCGAAGACCTTTGGAAACTACAGAAATGAAAATACGTATTTGTGCTAATTCTTGCCTGATGTCATCTCTTCTATTCTTATTTGTAAAACCATTTCTTTTTCTGTTCTTCCAGAGCTCTTTTGGATATATTTTAATTTCTACAGCTATAGAAAGTGCTCTGCTACAACAATTCCTAGCTTCATGTTGGCTTTGTGCATTCCTAAAAAGATCTTATATTACATGTTCTTTTAGTGTGTAGCAATGTTGAAGGTGTTTTTTCTAGAAGTCAGCCTATGTTTTTTCTCAGTTGGAAAGATTTGATCATCGACATCATAAATAATCTGCGGCTTTGTGCCCTTTGACCAACCAGGAGTTTTCACGCCTTGAGAAAATGTATTTATACACTACAATTCACTCTTTTTTCTCTTGATTTAGGCTTTACCTCTGACATCCTGATAGCAAATAGCTCATAGGGTGCACTTTCTGGTCATATCTATGGATAAGAACATCTTAAATTTGGAGAAGCTCACTGGAGGTGTTACAAAGTTCCTGAGACCTGGCTTAGTTTCATGTGGACCATACACACAGTTTGCGTTTTTGGTTTTCATGCACGGACCTGTGAATCCCTGATTCATCCACAGTGGAAAAACACTTAGTATGAACTCTGGCTCATCCAGGCCTTTTCTTCCAAGACTGCTTGATGTGTGCTTCGCATCTGATTTCCTAGTATGAGTCAGTAAACTTAGTATTGGCGTGTACTGGCATAATTTTTATTAGAAGAATTGGTCTGTGTCTCTTACTTATTTCATTTTTGTTTTTCTGTGGTGAGGCTAATTAACTCTCACTCTTCACACTGGTCTCTTTCAGACACTAACCAAAGCTATGGCTTTTTCAGAGAGGTAATATGCTATTGCTAGGGTATCTACTATTAGCTCGGGTTAACATTTACACACACACACAGCCCCACCCCACAAACTTCAGTCTTTGAACATGTTCCATATTCAGCTTAATAGCATTTAAGCACATTTAGAGTGAAGCACATACTTCAGTTATTATCTGGACTAGAATAAGCTTCTTTCATTACCTCTGTAATGCCTGTGTACTACTGCTTGTATCAGATGTGTAATTCACAAAAGCAATTTTTTTATTTCAAACCACAGACCCCTTGAAAGCAATCTTTAAAGAGAGCACCTCTAATCAAAAACTGTAAAAATGCCAAGAATCAGAGGTATGGTTTTTTGCAGGATCTCTTGCAAGTATTATCCTGAAAATCAGTATACACTGATGGAAAATGTTGGGGTCTGGCTCTTTTCAGATTGTCTGAAATACTCATGTCTGTAGTGCTGCATAAATGACTACAGCCCAATCTGCTGTGCTTTGTATTTACTAGTTGGCACCTGTGCCAAATACTGAGCTATTGCAGAACTTATTGCTAGATAGATACTTAGGCTTTAATTTTAAGGATTAGTTTTACTAGAAGTAAGATTTCAGTTTAAAAGAAAAAAAAAAAAGGAGAATTTTTCTTTTTATTAATGATGTTTATTAGAATATAGTAGTAACTGTATGCCACTGGCTGGGCTTAAACCATGACACTGTAGTATATTCATATCTGGTCTTTCTTTTTTTTTTTTTATTCACAGCTTTATTCAACCTTATACCAGTGGGACTTCGAGTTGTTGCTATCCAGGGTGTAAAGACTGGGTTGTATATAGCTCTAAATGGAGAAGGCTTCCTCTACACATCAGTAAGTACCTTTCTGAACTCTGTTTAAGAGGCACAGGTGAAGCATAAATCTACACAAGAACGAGATGCATATTCACTTTTATAGAAGTTCTATAGTGTCTATATGTGTATATACATAGAGTACACACCCCCATTTACCCATGTATGTATCCAGCATATCTATAAATGGCATACAATAGAAATTATTGTGGACTATGCATGAAAGTCTCCATATTAGCAGTCCTAAAAAAACCATTCTGTAGAGCTCTTTTTCTGCTAGGCAGGTAGCATGCAGTTCACCAGAAAGATTATTAATATCAATTAAATTCTCAAGAATTTTTAAATCAAGACCTGCAATTATTTTCTTAGTGACTTGTTAATCAGAATCCAAAAGCTGGTCCAGCAGTTACTTTCATTGTTAAGAGTTACAAATGTAATTTCTGTCTAAAAAGTCAGTAATAGCCTTACAGTTTATCACCATAATCTTGTAATTGTATGCTTAGTATTATTGTTATTTATATTTCAGATATTAGAAAAATAAAGAGTTAGGTGAAGGATGATAAAGTTTAAGAAAAAATCTTTCCCGTATGGGAAGAAGACTTCTGGATAAAGTGGTTGTTTTAAGATTTTCTAAATGATTTAATGCTAATCACTCAGTATGTTGTGAATATGAAAATCCTCAGTTTTGTGTAAATTCAGTGTTTTAGCTGTCTTTGAAAGGCAAAAAGACTTTAATATGAACAGGCAGTTCTGTCAGGTATTAATAATGTGGCTTAAAGGATTTTTCATTACTGTATTTTTATTGCTGTCTATGTTGAATTTATTTGTGTAGTGCGTTTTCTATTTTTTATGTCACATAGTTCTTAATTCCCCACAGAGTTACAACACACTGCTTTATTTTCAATGTCCATTGAAAGGAAATTGGACAGATTAAGCTTCTGATGCCCTGAGGGAAAGTATTCTGTTTCAAATATACAATTGTCTTGGAAAAGCTAATTAGGAGGAAAAAAATGGAACTAATCTTGAATGTCAATGTCAAGAAAAAGAGAAAATTCTTCCTCATAAAATGTCTGCTGGAAGCTCCAGCAGTATGATCTAAAGCATTTATTATTTTTTCTATTTAAAATCAAAAATCCTGTCACAGGAAAGCATTTAATATTTGCTGTCTGAAGGAAGAAATCTAGAAGAACAAAACCTAGAGTTATTAGAGAAAATGCATTTTTGACTTCCCAGTTCCATCACTACATGTAGGCAGTTCATTTCAGTATAAAGTCATGACCAGTACTTTTGCAATGTGTTGGTATATTGCTCAGCACTGTTTCTGAAGTGAGTTCTCAGTCATTCAGGAAGAAATACAAATTTCAGAAAATGTACCTGTTTCCTGATGGATAATTCTGTGCAGGGAGGGACCCTACATGAACAATTTCTGTCAGTCTCTTTGTTCATGTATTATACTGGAAATGGTTCAAGTCGAACGAATGGTGTCACCTGCGGAAAGGAGTAGAAAGTACAAGACAAAATAAGAAGAAATGCCTGGATCCAGACTTTGAATAGATGTGAACCCAACCCTTAGAACATCCTCAGGTTTAACAAGTTATTTTTGTCCTGCTAGTGGGAATCTGAATAGCTTTGTTCCTATGTCTTCTTTTTGAGCAACACACATTACTTAGGTTGTGATCAGTCTCATGGATATAAATAAAAGATTATGTAAAAGGAAAATATAATCCACGTTTAGTGTTTTGCAGGATTGCATATTCTTCATTGTAACTAATGGAAAGATTTTTTTGGACTTGGTGACTTCATACATTCCTGTAGTTATTGACAACTTGTTAAGTATTTTGGAATTTTGTTCTGTGAATATTATCATGTTGTGAATGTATTTCACTCAAACTTTTAGGGAGTGTCTCAATTTGTCACTTTACCTTGTGTGAGGTAAGGAAACAAGTGTTATTGAAATGTGCTGCTTACTCTTCCTCATGTCGAGAATGAAAGATGAGTGGCCCGTTAAGTGACAAAGAGATGTGACACATTAGAAAACTCAGCAGAACCCGTTAGTTTTGGGATGTCTACAAAACAATTTTCAAGTTACGTTTTTGTCAAGTGCTATACAACAGTGCTGTAATACAGGTTTGATTGTTTCATATTAATGTATTGAAAACATTTTTGTCTTAGCAATTGACTGCTTTCAGCTTTTGAAAAGGAGAAGACAAAGCATTAGAGAGAAGTCTGTCTTCTCCCTATGGGTCAAGATGAAGACATACTCCACACAGAATATTTTTAATACTGTCATTTGTAGAAAAAATATTTTTAACATATCACTTTCTTACTGTCTTGTTGATGGATTTTTTTGACTCTTTCTCATGGTTGTGTGTTTGTTACACCTAAATGCAGAAGTTGTGTATTGCATGTCATGTGTGTTTTTCTCTTGGCTATTCAGTTAAGGACAAGAGAAAAAAGTTTTCTAAATTTCTTATGCTGTCATCATTGGAAAAAAATAGCGCCACATAATGGGAACATTAAAATTTATGTTAAAATGGGAATTGTTAAAATTTAAATATATTTAGATATATTATCAATTTCTTATAAACACTTAAAAAAAGATGCATTTGCTATGTAGCCTTTATACTCTAAGTGGAAACCAAAGTTCTGTATAGTACTCTGCAGAATACCTCAGTGTCCCTTTTCCCATTCATAGTGTGTGAAACCCATAGCTTGTGAGAATATCCTATGTGTTGATGCCTCTCTTCAGAGATTGAAGGCCCAGCTCAATTAGTTTTATCACTAGCTTTACTTGTTGTTGACTAATTAAGCAACTGCAATGACAGGAAAGGTATTATGTGTGATCCTGCTTTCTGCATATGAAGTAAGAGGAAAATGAAGGTATAGGTACAGACCAGTTTTACATTTAGATTATCGAATGCAGCTTTGCATTTTTTTCTTGCTTTATTTAAAAGAAATAATAATTTTGGTGGTGATTTGTGTCAGTTTGGGAGTAACTTTTTTTTCTTATTTATTCTGCCATATTTAAGATTTTTTTCAATTAATTTACACAATGAGAATTAGAAAAAAGTTCAGAAATATGGCAGTAATTCTTAGAACAGAAATAGAAGGATACCAAATTGTGTAGGAAAGTCAGTCTCAAGAGCTTTTCATACCTATTTTTCCTGCTGCAGCAGCTGAGATTTGTATTCTGTCCTTTGGGGATTAATCGAGTCAGGGTCCCTAACACAAACCATCAAAGCCTTGACAAATAAAGGAGATGCAAAATTTTTGGAGTTCAGTAACAGCTTTGCAGAATTCCTGAGAGAAAATACTTTTCAAAAATCATAAACTTATTTTTCAATGCATTTAAAGTAATGATTGTAATACTGTGATTTATTATTTTCCATTATATAAAATATGAGACAAGAGCCTTTTCATGTTAAGTTTTATTCCTTGCACTTTCAAGGGTTAGCTCACTTAAAGACATTAAGCTCACCTTTTTTGATGTTTTAGTTTAATAAACTAAAATGCATCCATCCAATGCATTTATTTCTGTGTGTGTATGAGTACGTATACTCATGCATATATGTCCATATATATATCCATATATATCCACTCATAATTAGGAAATACCTATTTAGTGACAGCTTCCCAATTCTAGGTGTACGTTAGTGAGTAATGATAATTATAAAAATGAGTTTAAATTTATTTTAGATGGATTAATGAAGTGTCAATAAATCAGTATTTATGACTGAGTTCATCACTGTGAAAGCTAGTTGGAGAAACTAAATTTTTGCACAATGAAAGAACCATCTCGGTTAGTAGGAAGATTTTTGACATATTAGTTATGGACGTTGTATGTTTAAGTCCAAAAATATGCCTTACTCCTACCTCACCCTTGGAAAGGGTAGACAAAATAGGTTTTTATTTCCAGGGTTGAACCTGTCAAAATCAAAAGGAGTTGAACTGGCTCCATGCACTGAAAAAAATGAACACAGCCACAGGGATTCTTCATTGAGAACAAGTATTGCCTGCAGCAGGAAGATGGCAGTGTAGTACAGGGCTTTTGATGCTAATTTTGGTCAACTCACTTTGGAGAAGGTTCATTAGTTCAACTTTCATGGGGGCTGCAGCTTCTTATTTTCCTTCTAGGATTTTCTGCTATCATAACAGGATGAACTCAGAGGTAAAGCTTATGTGTTAGACCATTTTATGTTTGTTTTTTTCCTAAAGTGAGAATATGAGAATCTTCTTGTATTATATCAATGAATTTATCTTGAGAATTACCTGGTGTATCTGGGAAGATTTGGCAGTTGGTTTTTTTTGATCCTAGGAGCAGTTTAGTAGGGTGTTAACAATATTTGGTGGCTGCCAGAGTAGGAGAAAATGGAAAAACTAAAATGTAGAAATGAAGGAGTTCCAAAGTCTAGAACACCTTTACCTTCTTGTGCTTTCTTCTTTATGTTTCCTATTTGACTGTTTCTTCTACCAGTTTTCACTGAGACCTGAGATGTGCACGAAAACAGAAAGGGAAGAGTACGCCTGTGATATTGTCAGTAGCAGATACAAAGTCATAGCAATCCACCACATGGCTTCTTAGCAAGGCTGATGAACTACAGAAATGCTCTAAAAGATGACTGAGCCTGCAGAGCCAGGTTTGAACTTCCTGGTCACCTCTGCCAGTGTGGTGCCTTGCAGGGGTTGTGCACTGCAGGTGCAGAGCTGCACTTCTGGGTATGGGGCAGTTGGAATCTTGCTGAGAGGGTGTAGAGAGTAATGGAGAGACATGGCGGCATTTCCAGGAGGTCTTAACAACTTTGTAAAAGGCATTTTGATTTAGGGATGACACACTACTAGCTTCATAAAATAATATGCTTGTAAGATGGAGCTTGTGTTTGACCTGCCATGGTACATGGTGTTAAGGATGTTCTAAGGGTGTTGGGTAGTGTTTTGGCGGCAGTAAGATGTCAGTCTTTGTCATAGCCTTCATGAATGAGAGAAAATATCAATATCTGTTACTGAGAAGTGTATTTGTTACAT